CCTCCCCCCCCCCTCCTCCCTCGTCTCTAGCTGAATAATACTATTATCGTTGAATTAACTGTTGTCTACGTGTTCAGTGGATTTTTTACCCGTTCCCTTCATCCCGCAATTGAACCTTAAAACTGGTTGCTTCGAATGTTCCATCTCGAAGTCTGATAACGAATCAGATGGAAATTAGAAATTATATCGATATGTGTGTTAAATGGCTGATGTATGATTAGATTAGATTCGTACTGATTGAGAATTTCTAACTAGGGAAGGCACACTTTGTGTTCGAATCTGAAAAATCGAACATGCATAATCAATTGCTGAAGCAGATTCAGGAAGGTATTAAATTAAAGAGAGTACAGACCAATGACCGATCGAAACCAATACTAGAGGGTTTGAGGAAATTCCGAAGGCAGCTGACGATAGAGGAACAAATGCAAAAAGCTGAGGAACCCACGGACGACTCTATTTCGGATGATATGGATGACATTGATGCCGTAAGGGATGACTTACAAAGTACTAAACAAATGCTTGCTCTTGAACTTAGAAATAAGGAGGCATTAGAGAGAGAAAACAAAAGGTTACAAGTATGTCTCTCTCAAAATATTGCCAACTTTCGTAAAAGACAGCCCTAATCTACTCATTTTCTTTCACGTTCTTTGCAGTCAAAGATTTTGAACCTCGAAGCGGAAGTTGAACATGCGAAATCTCAGAAAAGCGTGCAAGAACAAAGAAAGTATGACGAGAGATTAACGGAATCGTTTAAAAAGGAGGCTCAGCAAGCAAGGCAGGATGCTGAGAAATTCGAAACAGAGTACATCACTGTCTCAGAAGAGAAAGACCGGCTCAAAAATGAATTGGAGGAAATGAAAAGGATGTATGCTGCTTTAGAAAGACGAATGAAAGCTGGTACAGACTTATTAATATCTGCGGCTATCTAACAATCATTTGCATATATACGTAATAATAAAAAATTGTAATCAATACTTAACAATGCTAACACTAATGCTAAACAAAAGAGTAATGACGAACTAAATCTCTGATCCGATGTGTTTTTAGTTCTTCATTAATGCTAAATTGCTTATGCTTATACTAATTTTGCTTTTCTATTAAACGCTTTGCAAACCAGAACAAGAGCTTGAACCTCAGCCAATAATTGAGCTAGCAGATGATGGGGACGAAGCAGCTTGGTACAATGTTTCAGGAATGGCACTGGCTGGTTGTCCAAGTGCAAAAGATGTAGCAAAAATTGCCTGTCAAAAGAGCATAGATAAAAGGGAGCCAAGTGAAAGTGAAGAGGAAGAAGAAGAAAGCTCAGAGGAGGAGGAGGAAGATGAGGAAGATGATCCAAAAGCAGCAGAAAAACGGTTGCAAAGAGAGATCAAGCTTTTAACAACCAAGATTAGAAATT